ATATATGCATACATGTGTGTGTGTGTGTGCTTGTCTGCGTGTGTGTGTGTGTGTGCGTGTCTACGTATGTTTACGTATGCTTCTGCATGTATATGCATGGCTATACCGGCTAGGTATGCATGAACGAACGAGCGAATCAACGAATGAATGAATAAATGAATGCATGACTGTAGATACGTACGTGTATACGTGCACGCATGTACGTATGTATGTATGTATGTATGTATGGACGGATGGATGGATGTATGCATGTATGTATGTCTGTCCGTATGTATGTGCGTACGTGTGTGTGTGTGTAGGTGCATGTGGAGGTATGTATGTATGTACGTACGTACGTACGTAGGTATATATGTATGTTTGTTTGTATGTTTGTATGCATGCACGCATGCATGACCGCATGCATGCATGCATTTATGTATGTATTTATGCACGTATGTAAGTGTGTATGCATGTATGTATATGTATGCACATGTATGCACATGTATGTATGTATGTATGTATGTATGTATGTGTGTAGGTATGTACCTACGTATGTATGTAGGTATGTACGTATGTATGTAATTATGTATGTATGTGTGTATGAACTTATGCATACATAACCAAACCCAAGTGCCATCAGATACGACTCATGCTACAGGAGCCCGCTCGTCTCGTTGTCCGGCTTCTTTGCGCTGCTCTCCTGGGAGTCTCCTGAGATTTGGCAATCCGCATGGAGCTGGCTATAATAGAATTAGAATAAGGTTTTGGGGTATATTATACTATACTTGTAAGTTGGACCCCCCCCCTAACTAGGCCCCTAAACCCTAACCCCCTAGACCCTAAACCCTTAAACCCTCAACCCTTAACCACAAGATCCCAAAATGAAACCCTGAACCCTAACAAAAAGCTATCTAAGAAGTTGAGATCCGCTAAACCCTAAACCTAAACGCACAAAAAAAAACCTTAAAACCTTAACCACAAGCGTCTTAGTCGAGATCCTCTAAACAGTAACCTAGGGATAATGTAGGGGTTAGACTACTCCAAAAAGGTTAAAGGTTACCTACTCTTCCACTATGCAGCAGCAAGCTAAGCCCCAAAGCCCCTGTAGCAATTATAACCTTATAAAGGGAACCTATAAGAACCCTACAGCACCCTTTAAAGGATCCCTTATAAAAAACACGCCTAAGTTGAGATCCCGTAAACCCTAGACCCTAAACCCTAAACCCTAAAACCCTAAACCCTAAACCCTAAACGCCTAAGTTGAGATCCCCAGGATCCTTTCACGGAGGTCTTGGCTTGGACCGCTGTGGCAGTGATGATGGGCGGAGCTTTCACGGGCGCAGGCCTCTGCCTTCGTGGATGGCTTAGGGTTTAGGGTTTAGGATTTAAGGTTTGAATCTACCCATAGGCCCCATAGTAGTTCCTTTTTGTGGCTTATATTTAGAACTCTATTAGAGAACTCCAAAAGGGAACTACTATGGAGCCTTGGGGTATAGCAATAACACCAATCATCACCGTTGATACTGATGTTCATGTTGCTGCCAGAAGTGATGTTTTCACATACAATACTGACACACATATTATCATATTGATGACATACGTCATGTCGGTGCTGCAATATTACGAGTATGATTCTTTGCTCTTGCAGATATTGAATTCCGAGGTTTCTAGGGCCCAGGGTAGTAAGTTTTAGGTCAGCCGGTGGTGACCTGGACCCTGAAAATGCTCCTCTTGGCAGACCTAGTCAGCACTACACCCTATACCCTAACCCTAAAACCCTAAACCCTTTAAACCCTAAACCCTAAACCCTAAAGCCCTAAACCCTAAACCCTAACACGCTAAACCCTAAACCCTAACACCCTAAACCTGGACCCTGAAATCCTCCGTTTTTGCAGACTGAGGGCCCAAGGGCCGCCGATTAATCTCGGTAGAGTAGGGTTTTGGGCTTCCTTTAAAGGGTTCCTTAAATCGGTTCTATAAGGGCTACTATAAGGGTTTATAGGGTATAGGGGCCTAAATAATTGCCTACATGTGTTTTTTTTGGGGGGGTTCCTTATTAAATTTATCGTATAATGGGCCCCCAAACAATGTTCTAATTATTAAGGCTCCTATGTTAGTAGTTGCGGCTGCCGATTCCTACACGGACTAAAATGGTTTAGAAAGACTGAAGGCTTCAGGCTTTAGGGCTTGAGGATTTCGGGTCTGGCTGAAAGATGTTGAAATTAAAGTCTTGCATCCTCGATCATCGAGGTCGTTTGTTCTGCTGGGAATCTCTTGGGGACGTCTGCCTTCTCAACGACCCTAAACCCTAAACC